CCTCTGGGGAGTCTCTTGGGAGCCTCTTGGAGGCATCTTGGGCGCCTCTTGGGGCCCTCTTGGGGCGCTCTTGGGGCGCTCTTGGGGCGCTCTTGGGAGCCTTCGGGGCGCTCTTGGGGCCATGTCGGGAATATATATCAAAGAAGGGGGGAGCCTCAATTAGCCTCGCCCCTCTAGAGTGCCTCGGATCGCCTCTTGGGCCCCCCCAAGAGGCCAAAATCCTTCCAAAACCTAAGGAAAATCAATGTTTTGCGCTTTCTCGCCTTTTCGCTCTTGGAGCAGTCTTGGGCCATCTTGGGCGTCCCAACGCGTCGCGGAACGCCCCGTCCAGGTCAGTGGGGAGGGGTAAGGGGAGGGGTAAACCCCTCCCCGAAGGGAAAGAAGGGGGGTTGGCAGAGGAAACGCTCTAGACCACCTACGCCCTAAAGGGCTGGTGGGATTCTACATCGTTGATATCACGGGTTTCGATGAACGTTTTGTTATGCTAAGTAGTCGTTGTGTGATTTACATGGTAAATTTCCAAACAGTAAATGTACAGAAGCAGTGCAACGAGGTATTGAAATCCTACGGCCCGAAAGCCGCTTGGCAGCGTGAGGGCGAATGTAAGCACCCGTCTTGCAAGCACGGGTTGGCCAAGTTGTTTGAACCCAGTTTGGCATCGGATTTGCGCCTCGCGTGTTGTCCATAGGCTGCCCAGAGTACTAGTGTCATTCCTCTTCCCCTGCCCTCGTCCTCCCCGCTTTGCGGGATGTTTAGGCGTCCGTCCCTCCCCCCTCCCCCCCACCATTCCCGTTTCTAATCCTGCCCTTTCTTCTTACCCTCGCCCTCCTCCACCTCATCCTTCCTGCTCGTCCTCTTTCCCTTCCGCATGTTCATTGCGAGATGTGTTCCATGTCGCACCCCTAGAAGGCGGGACATGCGTTTCGCCGGGGACTCTTCCACCATGTTTGCTAAAGCTTTATGCTTTATGGATGGAAGGCGGGCCTCTGTCAAAATATTGTTTTCGCCCCGCTACCGCACACATTCGTTGAAACACGCTGCTACAGTTTTACGGATGGAGGGCGGGTGGTGTTCAAAGTATGATCTCTCTTTGTCGCGCCGCGCACATTCGTCTGAAAAGGTTGCAGCAGTGTTTAGGATGGAAGGCGGGTGGTTTTGAACCTTTGTTCTCGCCCCTGCGCCGCCCACATCCGTCTTTCGCAATATGCGAGAACTCCACCGATGTAGGGCGGTTCTTTTCAACCTGAGACCCTCGCCTCAGCGCGGCGCACATTCGCTGTAAAAGCTTGCAACCGCTTGAAAGACGGACGGGCGGTGGTTTTCAAAATGCGGCTTCCGTCCTAGCGCCACACACCTTGCCCTTAAACGAGTGCAACAGGTTCAAGGATCCGTAGGGTTGACGTCCCAGGGATTTGTTTTGGGAAGGTTTAGGATTGCCAGGGCCCAGCATACACGTTGATTCGCGGTGTTGAAGTCCCAGGACGTACGTGTTGGCACGATTCAGGATCGCCAGGACGCAACAGTCACGTTGATTCGCGGCATTGAAGTCCCAGGAGTTGTCAATGGGGCATTGCCCACATTGGAACTTGGGTAGGGCGATGTGCAGATGGAACTCGGGGGAGGGTTTACTGCAACGTCACTGGTGCGTCTTGGGTTTGCACTGGTCTTCCTTCTCCTCCTCATCCCTTCCCCTCCTCCTTCTCCCCCTTATGTCCCCCTTATCCTCCTCTTCCTCCTCATCATACTCCCTCGCCTTCCTCCTCCACCTCCTCCTCCTCCTCCTCCTCATCATCATCATCATCGTCATCATCATTACCCCTCATCTTCCTCCTCCTTATTCCTCCTCCTTATTCCGCCTACCTGTTCTCTCTTTTGTCCTTTATCATATTCCTCCGTCTGCTTCTCCCTCCTCTTCCCTCCGTCTTCCTCATCACCCTGCCTCATCACCCTGCCTCATCAGCATCAGCATCATCATCATCAGCAGCATCATCATCATTTTCATCAGCAGCAGCATCATGCTTTGGAGGCCAGGCCTTTGAGGACCCTCGAGAGCGTATCTTGGATATTAAGGAGTGTATGTATGCGGTGAAAGATCGGTTTCTTGAGAGGCTCTTCCGAATCGGTCCCGTCACTGACAGGCAGAAGGTTGCCATCTGTTTGAAGCTTATGCGGGTTACTCAGAACAACAATCGTGCTCTAGTTAGGCGGTGTCTTCAGTCTCTGTCAGTGTTGGTGCAGTGCTACGATGCCGAGGGCGCGTGCTACTCGGATTATGCGGCGTTTCACAAGTATCTGCAGGGCGTGTGCAGTGACATTTTGTACGCTGAGATCAGCGACTTCTTTGCCGAGAACCCCAACGCCTCTCATTATGATCCTCGTCCCTTTCAGCTCCATGAGCTACTAGGCTATGGTCGCCTAAACGTCGTCGTCTCACCCTTTGTCATGTGCCTGATCCTGGGGGAGTTGATTCTGGGCCTCTGGTTAATAGTTCTTGCAACCTGGCCAAACATTGGGGGGAGGTCCACGCCAAGCGAGCCCGTGGGCCCAAGTACGATGAGGTCAAACATTGGCTTTCCCAAAAAGTTCAGCACATCTCTCCTGGCATCCAGTGGAGGCCTATGTATCACGAGTTTGTTGGTGTCCTCGTTGCCAAGACGGAACCAGCCCCGGGTCCCGACGGCATTGGATATGCTATGTGGAAGGCGGGCGGCGAGTTGTGTCACGGGTGCCTCTTCTCCCTCTATTCCAACTTGCTGGACTGTAAGGAGATGAAGGATGGGTTGGACAACACGCTTGTTGCTTTCATTCCCAAGGAAGACGTTGGGGCACCAACATCTGGCAGGCCTAAACGAGCGACGGACGGAGGAGGTGGGGGCGGGGAGGCGTCTCTGGAAACCCCTCGTGCTGCCGATGCCACTCGTCTATTTCCTCCCTATTGCGACAATAAGCTGCTCGCTGCTGCCCTTGCTGACTCGCTCGTCGCGCAAGCTCAATATTCGGTCCCTGCTGCCCAGAAAGAGCTTGTTAAACACGCAATATGTTCGGCCACATTCTCGAGATGGAGCCACAGTTGGTAGAAGTCTTCTCCTTCCAAGACTGTCAGCGAGCAGGACTTGTCCTGCTCGGTATTGCTGCTGTGTCCCCGTGGCTCGATCACGACTGGATCTTCGACTGCCTGTCGGAGCTAGGCGTGCCGAAGTACTTCCTGTTTGCCATCAGCGAGTTATATAAGAATGTGGTCGCCGATGTCGTTATGCGTTGGCAGGTTTCCGAATTCTCCGCGGGGTAAAACAAGGCTGTCCGCTGAGCGGGGTGATCTCCGCTTTATGCTTCGACCCTCTGGTCCGTCATCTGTAAAAGGCCTTGCGACCACATCCAAGTAGCCCGTTCGCGCTTGCCGGCGACATAGGTGTGTTTTCTAAAGATTTGCCGGTGTCAATCCCGCTGGTAGTGCGCCTCATGATGAAGGCGGCTTGGGCTACAGGTCTTTTGATAAATCCGAAGAAGTGCATCATCGTTTTCCCAGCAGGCCTGAGCAAGGCTGAGATCATCCACGTGTTCCAGGGAGTCGGGTTGAACGTTTCGCTGTTCCAGGTCGGTTCCTCTGCCAGGTATTTGGGTATGTTTCTAGGGCCTGGTGGGCCCGAGCGCAGCTGGATTGGTTCCCTTTCGGAAGCTTCAAAATCGGCTTCAGTATATTCGTGTTTTAGCCCTGGGTTTTATTCAGAATCTTTGCGCCTACAACACGTTTGGGCTTCCTCTGCTCAGCTTCCTGTTCAGTTTCATATTGCGCCTGCTGCTGCTCTTCGTGCTGAGCGTAAGGCTCATCAGTTTCTCACGGCAGGCCCACGGTGGGCCGTGCCCGCGTTCGTGCTGGCGCACACTGACGAGATTGGTTTGCCCGTCCAGTTCCGCTCCGTCACCTTGGACCATGACTCAGCTATGTATCGAGTGCGTATTCGGCCAGAGGCCTTTCCACGAGTATACGATCGCTGGAGCGAGCTCTTGCAGTGCCTCGTAGGGCTGATTGGGTCCGTGAGTCCATCACGGGGTCCCTGTGCACATTGTTCGAACGCTTTCAGGCCATCCCTCAGATCCTTTCGGACCCCGACATGACCCTTCTCCAGAAGCGGATCCACATGATGCTCAAGTTGCGGGACTCCCTGAGTAGGCCCTCGGTCTCAGTTGCTCTTACCCCTAGGCTGAGAAAGTTTTGGCCCGACATACAAGTATGGCATTCCTACCGAGTTTCCATGATTTAAGAACTCCTGGGAATACCGCCCCCTTCGCTTGTGCCGCTTATCTTAGATATATATGTGTAACGGGTGGTGCACTTCCGCTCGACATAGTCAAGGCCGCCAGGTGTGCCGATTTGGATGTAAAGCGACGGGAGGCGATCGCGCGTTGCATTATTTTTCGTGCCCGCTGCTGCTAGTTCAGCTTCCTCGTCTCCTTCCTGGTCTTCCCGAAGATTATTGCGCGTGATCGCCCGAAGATAGACTGGTGCTTTGCCTTCGGCCTTCCCTGGGGGGTGTTGCTCTCAGATTTGTTCTGCTCGCGCATGACCTTGCAATTTCAGCGCTCAACTTCTTCCGAGCCCACAAGAGATGGGGACAAGAGGCTCTCTCGACCCTTCTCGCCGCGATGGCTCGCGCCATCGCGAAGAAGAGGAGGGCGGCGCGTGCTCTTTTCAATCGACCAGACCACAGGAACGAGTGGATCAGTATTATCATCATCATCATCTGCGTCATCATCTGCATCCGCATCCGCATCAGCAGCATCATCATCATCAGCAGCATCAGCATCAGCATGATCATCCCTCCGCTCCCCCTCCCTCCTCCTCTGCCTGGAAGGTCAGCAGGTGCGCGGGGCCCACTGGCGCCGGACCGCCGCGGCCCGCCCCCGCGGCCGCCAGGATAGCCATATCCACCTTCGCGCAGTGCCCGTGCGACGAGGACGGGGGACTCCTGAGCCTCGGCGCGGCCATGCACTCGACCGGGGAGCCCGCCGCGGCGGCCTGGGCGCTGTCCACTCCTCCCCCTTCTGGGGCATCGGTACGGGGGGGGGGCTCCGGGATGGACGCCCCCCGTCGCCCATTCATCGCCGGTAGGAGCCTATTGGCCCGCCTTGCCCAGGAAGGTGCGCTCTCGGAATGGGGGACTTATCGCCGGACGAATCGGCGATCTACGCCGACTCCTGGCCGATGCTTCCCCCTAAACCGGACCCCCTATCGTTCCCCCTCGCCCGCCCCGTTTTCCCCAGGCCTCCCAGAGCAGATCCCAGATCTCTGACGGTATGATTTGTGACAACCATCAATTTGTTCTTTTGATTTCGACCCTCGGGGGCCCGTCTCGGTCCCTGGGAGCATCAAGAAAGGGTCCTGGTCGAAAAGCTATACGCGTGGAAGCAGTCTGGATCTACGGGGCCGCAGATGGGGGAACCAAAAAAAAAACATCGGCGGATCTTTGGGAGGAGGTCGGAGGGCAGCGCCGCATCGCCGATGCATCGTCAAGGCGGCTCGATTTGGTGCCCAATTCTCTCCACGCCGACGTCGCGATGCATCGGCGATGCGGCGCGATCCTCCGACCCCATCTACCTGGAGCCCATTTGGGAGGCCTCCGTCTTGTGCCAGGGCAGCGGCAAGGGGGGCTGGCCCAAAGGAAGGGGAGCATCGACCCCCGATCGCCCGTTCGTCGTCAATCGGAGCCCGGGTGCCCTGCTCAGCCTGCCCAGGAGCGCGGGGGTTCCCCATCGGGGCCCATCCATCGCCGATCTATCGGTTGCATCGCCGATTCCAGGTCAGTGGTTCCTCCTTGAGTCTAGGCCTCCCAGATGGGTCCGAACAGATGAGATCGGGAAGTCGCACTGCATCAGCGATGCATCGGCGATGCGGCTCGATGTGGATCCCGATTTTCTCTACGCCGGCTGCGCCGATGCATCGCCGACGTCGCTGGTGCATCGCCAATGCATCGGCGATGCGGCGCGATCCTTCAACCCCATCCACGCACTCCAACCCCATCTGAGAGGCCTCCACTGAGCCAGTCCCCTCCTTTAGTCTCCCCCGCAGCAGGAGGGGGGGGGAGGCAAGAGGAAGAATCTGCGCCTCTGGCGGGCCTTTCCAGAGCCTCGCAGACCGCCGACGACCTCGCCGCCCCCTCGCTCTTGTCTGCAAATGCGGGGGTTATGACTGATTAATTGAAAGTCACTGAGGGGACAGACCGCCGCCCCACCTTTTTGGGATCGTGGATTTCGTTGGGCAGCTGCTTGGGCAGCTGCTTGTGCCGCCTCGGGGTGCTGTTGTTGGCGCTTGTAGTGGTGCTGCTGCCGCAGACCGCCGGTCTACGTTTTTGGAGAAGTGGAGACTTTCGGCGGGTTGGTGGAAGAACAGGAGGATAGTTGAAATGATCCCAGAGGGCGCCATGGGGTGTAAGACGGCCCCAGAAGGTTTCCCAAAACGCGACCAAGCTGCCAATTGGAACGATCCCAGAGGGCGAGACGGGGGCGGAAGACGGCCCCAGAGGGCTTCCGAAGACGCCAGAAAGTTGCCGAAGAGGGCCCCAAGAGGCTTCGAAAACATGCCAAAAGGGCGCCCGAAGGCATGGAAAATTGCGAACGAACCCGACGAGGTATACGGAGAGGCAGAAAGGAGCATGGCCAGAAGGGCACCATAATGGCATCATAAGGGCCTCCAAGGATCCCTGGGCGCGCCCAAGACCGCTCAGGACAGCGCCAAAAGGGCGTCCAGACGGCCGAGGAGGGTCCCGAAGGGGTGTTAGGACGGCCGCAGGGAGCATCCGCATGTTCCAAGATGGCCGCAAGAGCCCGCGGAGACACACGGGAGCTCGAAGAGAGGCACCACGAACAGCCCGATAAGGACAGAATCGTCGTAATCTTATGTGCTTTACTATGTTTCTCGCTCGTTGGGGGTTCTGGTGTATGAGAGTCGAGAGGTGGAGAGGCATCCGGGACGGCCGAAGGTGGCCTGAAGTACGGTCAGTAGCAGCCCAGAAAGAGCCCCGAGAGGCCCCCAAATCCGGCCCAGTAGGCTCCCGGAGAGGGATCTGAGAGGGCCTGGTGGCGTTCGGAAGCCGAGCGCGTGAAAGCGGGCTCGTTTTGGGGCGAGCGTGGTGCCAGGAAGGCGCCCCAGCCGCAGCCTGGGCCTCGGGCCAGCGGGGCGAGCGTGCCGCGGGGGGGGCCCTGTGTGAAATGTACTCCATACAATGGATGTCTCGAGGGTTTCGGACATAATGCTGTTAGATATTACCCCTCCCCCTCAGCAAGCAGAGCAGTAGAGCGTGCGTAGTTGTGCGGGCCAGTGTCAAGTGTGTAAGACAGCATGCAGCAAGCACGAATGTATGTAAAGTTGTGCGCATGACTATTGCCGTTTGAGCTCGAGAGGCCTCTCGGCTGACCAAAAAGGATACCATCACCCCCCTCGCGCGCGCAGCGATAGCGAGCACGAGTGCGAGAACGATCTGGCAGTGATACGAGATCGGATTTCGACACCGAGTTTGTCGACTTCGAGAGCGGCGAGCAATTCACACTGGTAGCTGACGAGATGACGGACGGCCGCCGAGCCCCAGAGTTCGACGGCTCCATCGATGGCTACAAGACGCCCAGGAAGAAGGTGGAGATCTTCGCGGCGAGAGCTCGCGGTCGCGAGCAGGACAAAGAGGCAGGGCTCGAGATAACGCAAAGCCCGATGGGGCCGAGCGCGGGAGGTGGTCGAGGACATCGAGATCGCAGAGATCGAGAAGGAGAAAGGTTGGCAGACCATCATCCAGGCGCTCAACCGGGCATGCAAGTCCGATCAGATTACGAAGCTCCCGACAAACTTCGAGAAGTTCTTCTTCAAGGCCGCCCGCAAGCCACAGGAGACCTCGATTGAGTACTTGACGAGGTTTTGGACATCGGAGAGGAGGGTTCGGGCGCAAGACGCGGCTTTGCCAGACAAAGTGCCCGGCTGGTTTCTGTTGCGGCGGGCAGGCTTGGACAAAGAGGGCAAGCCGCTCATCATGAACCAAGTCGGCGACAACCTGGCCTTGGACAAGGTCGAGGGCGAGTTGAAGACAACGTTCGGCGTAGACTCGATGCCAAGCTATCGAGCGAGTCCGGGGGCAGCAGCCTACAACGCGAACGATTACGAGGAGTTCGATGAGCAGGACGACGTCTACTACGGAGGCGACGACGAGGAGCACTACTACGACGACGGCGGCGAGGACCACCAGGAGGCAGTCCCCAGCTTCGACGCGGAGGCGGCCTACTACAGCGAGACGGCGACGATCAACACCCCCGCGCCGGACCTGGCGCTGGACGCGGATCAGCGCGACGATATCACGGCGGCGCGCACGGACGCGAGACAGAAGATGAACGACCTGACGTTGGCCAGAGGTTGCTGCCCAATCGTGGCGATAGTACCGCCGCCTTCGAGAAGTGCGGCACCAGTTATCCCACCTCGAATTTCTTCCGCCGGCAGAGGTCGAGGCGCTGCGCGAGGCACGTCAAGAGGGGGGGCAACGGGGCGAGCGACGGCTTCAAAGGGGCGCGGGAAAACCAACTTCGCAAGCAGCTACGGCACGGGCGCAGCCGGACGTGGATCGCCTCAGTCACCACCGAGAGCTACAGAAGAGACGATATGCCTACGACGCGGAGGTCGAGGCCATTTCGCCAAGGACTGCCCGCGTCAGAGCAGGAAGAGACAGGACGTTGGAGATGATTTTGCAGAAGCGCGGATGGTCACGGACGAGATCGAGGATATCTACAACTCGACCGAGCTCGACCCGTCGCAGGCGGTTCACGACAGCGGGGCGACCAGCGTTATCGCGGGACATGACGCTCAAAGGTTATTGCAAGCAGCTGATCGCGAAGGGATTTCCAGTGAAAAATATTAATTTGTTCCCGTGCTCCAAGAATTCCAGGCACGGCAACGACTCGACCGGCGAGGCGACGGCGCGCGCAGTTGTACCCTCATTCCCTGGAGGCAAGTTCGTGGAGATGCTCACCTGTGTGCGATTCCAGCCAACACGCCATTTCTGTTCGCCGGACCCGTGATGGAGGAGCTCGGCATGGTAGTGGATTTCAAGAACAAGAGGGCATGCTGGGACGGAGACGGAAAGTGGTTTCAGCTACGACAGCAGCCCCAACGAGGACACATCATCATTCATCATGTTGGAGAGTTTCGATACTTGTGAAGGATCGCGCCGTCCAGACCCTACTACCCCCGAATAGGTTGGACCACGTGCGTGTGCAGCATCCGATCAGCCCCTGCACGTTTCTTGGCGACGAGGTGCTGTCGCGCGAGGCGTCGGTGGATTTAATCGGCACGATGGTCGGGATCAGCAAGGTCGACGCGACGAAGGATGAGGGCGCCTACATAGCCAAGGACCTCAACGTGAAGCAGCTGCACAAGTGCCACGAGTCCGTAGAGACGGCCACCAAGGGGCTGAAGCAGGGCTTGGACCTGGCAAACAACATCCAGAAGGCCAAGCGCAAGATCTGGGAGGTCTACGGCGGCAAGTCAGAGTTGACGGAAGAGCTGAGGAGGCGCGGACATCAGGCCAGGACGTTCGGCGCACACAACGGCTGGGATTTCAGCAAGACGGCCACTAAGAAGAAGTTTCTCGACATGATCGACGAGGAGCAGCCGGGCGATGCGTGGATGAGCCCCGAGTGCAAGCTCTGGGCGCTGATGCAGGAGCGAGGCTGCAAGACGGGCGAAGATAAGCAGAAGCTGCAGCAGCGGCGCTCGGACAACCATGGGGCGCACCTGATGCTCTGCAAGCAGATCCACCTCAAGCAGTGGCAAGCAGGTCGAGACGCGCATCTGGAGCAACCCTCGAAGGCGCGCAGTTGGAGGACGAAGGCGCTGTGCCCGGACACCATGTGCTTTTCGACCAGTGCATGACGGGATTGGAGATTTCAGGAGAAGGCTCGGCGCGCAAAAGGACTGGTGTTCGCACCGCGCGACGAGGAATGGCAGAGGGACTCTACGAGTACCAGT